TCTCTGTGTAGTCAATGCCATAGGTTTGGGAGTACCCTTTTGCAACCAGCCGCGCCTTCAGGCGCTCAACACGACCATCTGGCAAGTACTTAACGGTATACACCCACTTACAAYYGAYARCCTGCTTCCCAGGAGGAAGAGCGGTGAGGTCCCAAGTGTGATTATGATGGAGGGCAGAGAGCTCTTCTTCCATAGCACGACACCACTTTGGAGAGGTAAGGGCTTCTTGGACATCCTTAGGAACAACCACTGAGGATAACAAAGAGATGAACTGGCGATGAGAGGCGGAGAGGTGAGCAAGGGAAACAAAATTGGAAATAGGGTGAAGGGTGCAGGTGCGTTTACCTTTCCGTAAGGCAATAGGAAGATCAAAGTCGGAGGCTGGTGTCGGATCTGGAGCTGGATCTGTCAACGGTGATGAAGCCGGAGGAGTCGTAGTCGGTACACGTGGGCGATGTGTATACACGTGATGGATAGGTGGACGGTGGCACCGGAGGCAAGGACGTATGCACGACTAGAACCAAAGCAGGAGGATCAGCCACAAGAAGGGGAAGAGGAGGAGGTGATATGGAGGAAGCAACATCACCAGACCCCACGAAGAACTGAGTAGACTCGAAGAAAGTAACATCAACACATATCAAGGAACGACGAGAACTGGGGTGGTAACACTTGTACCCTTTCTGAGTTCGTGAATAGCCAAGAAAGATACACTTAAGGGATCGTGCATCTAACTTGTTAGTCTCGGAACCCAGATTATGGATGAAGCAGACACACCCAAATACCCGAGAAGGAAGCGGAAACGGAGACATGTTGGGGAACAAGACACTAAAAGGAGAATGGCCATCAAGAATAGACTGGGCATCCGATTAATTAAGAAACAAGAGGTGAACATTGCATCACCCCAAAAGGGTTTGGGAACATTCATGCGGTGCATGAGTGAGCGTGTCGTTTCTACAAGATGTCGGTTCTTTCTCTCAGCAACCCCATTTTGTTGTGGGGTGTAGGTACATGAAGTTTGGT